GATACTGTTATTTGTCAATAAAATTTAACTTACGTCTTAGAGCCACTCGAACGGGTCATCAACACGGAGTAGAGGTGGGTGGGCGGTGTCACTTTTGAATTAGCTTTAAGTATTTGATTCTACCACTTGTCATACCAGAATTCAGATTCCATTTTGCAGTAAATAAACTGTTAAGCCAATGAAATGGCGAAGGAAGATGGGCGGAGCTAAGTTTACATTTTTTCTACATAGTCTTACAAGCAAAAATTAGCCCCGCCCACCCGCCCCAGTCTTGTTCGTAGGGACTACTATTAATATTGATAATTAATGACAAACTATTTTATCTTCTTGAAATCTCAGAAAAATCTGTTGAACCACTGGTGAGGAAATAGATATAAATGGTAATTAAAGTGTCCAGAAAATATTAAATTGGCCTTAAATAAACATAACAAAAGTGGGAAAAAGAAATGTCACTAATTCTCCTCCCACTCGCACTAGCTCCACCTTAATAAATCATTTCATTGGCTCAGAGAAGGAAGGTGGCATTTATAGATAAGATATACCAGAGTGTGTCTACTTTGTAAGATTTTTAAATGTTTCTATCTAAACACTGACGGTTAAGTCGTTTTTTGAGTAAAAATTAAAAGTTTATAACTAAAAATTGTACTGAATTCTGTTATTTTTCAAAAAAATTCAACTTACGTCTTAGAGCCAATAAAATAGGTCATCAAAACGGAGTAGGGGTGGGTGGGCGGGGTCACTTTTGAAATTGCTTTAAATATTAGATTAATACCACTTGTCACACGAAACTCAGTACCCATTCTACAGTAAATAAATTGTTAAAGCAATGAAATGCAGAAGGAAGATGGGTGGAGCCAAGTTTACATTTGTTCTAGATAGTCTTACAAGCAAAAAATAGCCCCGCCCACCCACCCCAGTCTTGTTCTCAGGGATTACTCTTAATATTGCTAATTAATGACAAACTATTTAATCTTCTTGGAATCTCAGAAAAATCTGTTAAACCACTGGTGAGGAATAAATTAAAATGGTAATTAAAGTGTCCAGAAAATGTTAAATTGGTCTTACAAAAACAACAAGAGTTGGAAAAAGAAATGTCATAAATTCACCTCCCACTCGCACTAGCTCCACCTTAATAAATCATTTCATTGGCTCGGAGAAGAAATGTGGCGTTTATAGATAAGATATACCAGAGTGCGTCTAATTTCTAAGATTTTTAAATGTTTTTATCCTAAACACTGAAGGTTAAGTCGTTTTTCGAGTAAAAATTAAATTTTATAAAAAAAAATTATACTGGATTCTGCTATTTGTCAATAACATTCAACCTACGTCTTAGTGCCAATAAAACGGGTCATCACAACGGAGTAGGGGTGGGTGGGCGGGTACACTTTTGAATTTGCTTTAAGTATTAGATTCTACCACTTGTCATACCAGAATCGAGATCCCACTTTGCAGGAATAAAATGTTAAGGCAATGAAATGGAGAAGGAAGATGGGCGGAGCTAAGTTTACATTTCTTCTACATAGTCTTACAAGCAAAAAATAGCGCCGCCCACCCGCCCCAATCTTGTTCTTACGCACTACTCTTAATATTGCTAATTAATGACAAACTATTTCATCTTCTTTGAATCTCAGAAAAATCTGTTAAACCCCTGGTGAGAAAATAGAGAAAAATTGTAAACAAAGTATAAAGAAAATATTAAGCTGGTGTTAAATAAACATAACAGAAGTTAGAATCATATATAAAAAGAAATATCAATGATGCTCCTCCCACTCACACAAGCTACTTCTTATTAAATCATTTCATTGGCCGGAGAAATAGGACGATGTTTATTATTGTACCACAGTGTGTCTAATTTCTATAATTTTTAAATGTTTCTATGTAAACGCTGACGGCAAAGTCGTTTTTCGAATGAAAATTAAAATTAAGAGAAAAAAATTGTACTGGATTCTGTCATTTTTCAATAAAATTCAACTTACGTCTTAGAGCCAATAAAATGGGTCATCAAAACGGAGCAGGGGTGGGTGGGCGGGGTCACTTTTGAAATTGCTTTAAATATTAGATTAATACCACTTGTCACACGAAACTCAGTACACATTTTACAGTAAATAAAATGTTAAAGCAATGAAATGCAGAAGGAAGATGGGTGGAGGCAAGTTTTAATTTCTTCTACATAGTCTTACAAGCAAAAAATAGCCCCGCCCACCCGCCCCAGTCTTGTTCTTAGGGACCACTCTTAACATTGCCAATTAATGACAAACTATTTTATCTTCTTGGAATCTCGGAAAAATCTGTTAAACCACTGGTGAGGAAATAGATAAAAATGGAAATTTAAGTGTCCAGAAAATTTTAAATTGTTCTTAAATAAACATAACAAAAGTGAGAAAAAGAAATGTCACTAATTCTCCTCCCACTTGCACTAGCTCCACCTTAATAAATCTTTTCATTGACTCGGAGAAGAAAAGTGACGTTTATAGATAAGATATACCAGAGTGTTTCTACTTTCTAAGATTTTTAAATGTTTTTATCTAAACACTGACAGTTAAGTCGTTTTTCGAATAAAAATTAAAAGTTTATAAATAAATTCAATTCCTACTTTAGAGAAATAATATAATTTAGCCAAATGGAGAAATGACGTGAGTGGAGTTTCTTTCTACAGAGTCTCATGAACAAACAATAGCCCCGCCCACCCATCACCCACCTCTTCATTCTGGTGACCACTTTTAATATTGAAATTAATGATAGAATTATCATCTTATTAGAATCCCATTTTATTCGGTTCAACCGTTGGTGAGAAAATAGATAAATTTGTAAATAAAATATCTAGCGTGAGAATTATATTTAAGACGCAATATTACTGATGCCCCGCCCACTTGTACAAGCTCCACCTTAATAAATCATTTCATTGGTCCGAAGAAGAAGGGCGGCTTCTATAATTGTACCAGTGTGTATATTTTCTATGATTTTTAAATGTTTCTATGTAAACACAGACGGTAAAGTCGTTTTTGAATAAATATTAAAATTTTATAAAAAAAAATGTTGGACTAGATTCTGTTATTTGTCAATATAAAATCCAACTTACGTGTCAGAGCCAATACAATGGGTCATCAAATTGGAGTAGGGGTGGGTGGGTGGGGCCACTTTTGACTTTGATTTAAATCTTATATTCTACTACTAATCAAAGCAAAATTCAATTCCTACTTTACAGAAATAATATAATTTAGCCAAATGGAGAAATGAGGTGGGTGGAGCTAAGTTTAGCTTCTTTCTACAGAGTCTCACAAACAAACAACAGCCCCGCCCACCCACCCACCTCTTCATTCTGGTGACCACTTTTAATATTGAAATTAATGATATAATTATCAGCTTATTAGAACCCCATTCAATTCGGTTCAACCGTTGGTGAGAAAATAGATAAATTTGTAAATAAAATATCTAACGTGAGAATTATATTTAAAACGCAATATTACTGATGCTCCGCCCACTTGTACAAGCTCCACCTTAAAAAATCATTTCTTTGGTTCAGAGAGTAGGGGCGGCGCATACAGTTATACATTGTGTCTACTTCATGCGATTTTTAAATCAAGGACAAAATTGATTTTCGAACCGACTATTTTCAATATTTTAAAGAACTATTTCAGACAGACGCTTATTATCAAAACTTCACCCGTCAAAAATCCGTGCCTTACTCTGAATATATGAATAAATCCAGCATTGTTTACATAAGAAAATTCTTTAAATTCTCAAACATTCTCTCCAAATTCCCCGCTACTCAAACACACTTGAAAACACCCACCCAATCTCCGGCCAATAATGCCAAAGAAAAACACATTGTCAACCGAAAAGGTCAATAAGTCCCTAATATAAAAGAAATGAAATATTAATCCGCGAAACATGAGCTGAAACTCCAACCAACAAACTACCCACAATAAATTATTCCGGAAAGCAGATGCGGAAAATCGCCGGGTCAGGTTCAAGGAAAGCTACAAAGCAACACGCCGACTAAAATTCCACGTTTACAACCCGAATCGCGTGAGATACAAACCCATTACGCAACCGGTAATTATTTCGCATACTTTTCTATTTCGTACCAAATCGCAAGACTTCGCCCCAAACCGTGATATATGAACACTAAAGATGAATTCCGGCTGTCCTCAAGCGAGGAAAACGTTTCCGTTCCGATGAAAGTTTCCACTAAGGAAATTGCTTTCGGAAAATCAGAATTAGACATTTTTCGTTATTTATGCACTGTTTGTATCTAGCGAGGACCTTGGATGTGATACGAAATAAACGAAACGAGGAACTGGTAGCGATTGACGCAAATCGAAAAAACTATCTGAAAATGAAGGTTTAAGGAGGTGCTTACACGGACGGGGTTTGGGCCAGGTTTTCGGTTTAGGGAAAGCGGGCTTTGTGTGGTGGAGTTCATCGACGTGCGGGCTGGAGTGAGGTGACCTTCAGGTGTCTGCAGTAGCAGGTTGAAACATTTGTTGTTTAGTTGCTGGGGTTTAATTAATGTTTATGTGTAAGCATGAATTTAATTACTTCATTAAAAAAGTAGCTGTTGATTTATGCAACAGCAATTTAGTAAACACATTAGTTTAAAATGCACTTGTAATATTTGTATTTTATTTCTAACAGTACTCTGATCTAACGTGGTTGCTGTTACGTTCGAAAAATTGCGACAAATGTGACATGACAGAAATAAAAAGACGCAATGCGGAATTCATTTTTAGTACAAGAAGACACATGTTTGGGTTATTAGCGAATGTTACAAATATTCCGGAATTTATATGTAAAAAAAAACGTAATATTGAATTTTATTTATTATGTTTCAAGTTATATTTGGATCGTTTAGAAATGTTATTCTGTAATAAACGGCCTTGTGGGGATAATAATGCGAATTCCAGTCGGTTTAAGTTGAAAAAAATATTTTCTTGTTTGATTAATTCATCTAAGACGACAAAGTCTAAGTAATCTAAGTGAAAAATACCAAGACTTACCCAACAGTAGATTAACAACCAATTTATCCACTTATTTCTTGAGCAACACGCATTAGTTCAGTTTAGTAGCAACTAAGCCTCAATATATATTACAGTGATGAATAAATCAACCAATAAACCACACACCGTGTCCTCGTCACTTGTCACTTCTAGTTCACGGGTTTACTCAAACACCATCACTAACCTAAGATTACTTAAATGTTACCCACATAAACAAACCTACACTAAGTAGAGTCTTCGCCACTTCTGACGTTGCTGCTTTAGATAATTAGACCAAAACCGGTATAACAGCCATGGGATGGCCGTTATTAAAAAAAATTTTGACAAACTCGGAATCCAAAACGTGAGAGATTCACGCTTCAACTTTAACCCGTTGCTAAACCACGTTCGAACTTTGCGAATCTCAGAAAATTAATGTATTTATAAATCAAAACAAAATTTAGCACCGAGCCGAAATTATTGACTAAATTTCGTGTGACATTAATTTTGATAGTCGCGTAAGAACCGGTATTTGGCAACGCGATGGTGTCTTCAAGGACAGGAATTTTGTTAAAAAATACTGAATTTATTATAAATTGTTGAGGTCGCTTGGTGGACTTGACTTCCGCATTTTTTCTCTTAGGGGAAAAATGGTTTAATTGGTGCTTCCCGGTGCAGTTGTGTGCGTAAAACATATAATGAACGCGTCGCTGTATTTTTTTTGGACTTTTGTCCATTACGATTTATATTCTACTGAAATTTGTCGCTCGTTACAAGTTTTTTTTAATTCGAAAGACAATCCCAGTGTTGAATTATCCAAAAATCAAGTTATGTTTTTGTCGATTTAGCAAATTTGCAATTCCTTAAATCCTGCGCCATTTTTTGTCAATCAAGTTTTTCAAGAATCAACTAATTAATCTTTAAAAAAACTAAAATACATACATTAAATTTTTAAATGCGACTCGTAATTGCATGATATTTCCTTGTCGACTCGGAATTACAAAGCGTTTTAAATTTAACCGGTAATTTAACTTCAATGTTTGATGAGACACCCTGTATAAGCAGAAACTCGAATTGTTTGATTGTTCTCAAAGAGGTGAGGGAAGTTCTGTCGAAAATTTTAAAATCACCAGTGTTTTTTACGTTTAGAATGTGGAGGAGTTTTGGCTACCTTAGGTGTTTCTTTTCCGAATATGAAAGAATCTTGAGGGCAACTTGTGTTATTTTTCTAAGAGTTTGAAAGAATCTTAGAATCTTCTAGTGTTTTTTTTTTAAATCCAAAGAAACCTTTAGGGCCCCTAGTGCAATGTTTTCTTCTTGACAATATAAACAAATCCTCGAGGATTCTTCTATTTAGAACTCTTTCAAAGTAAAGAGTTTGAAAGAATCTTCGGGCTTCTCTGTGTCATATTTTTGAAAGAATTTGAACAATTCCGAAGGATCCTTGTGTCTTGAATAAGAAACAGTTTGAAAGAATCTTAGGAGTCTGTGGTGTCCCCTTTTTAATCTAAACGAACCTGGAGTGGTGTTTATTCTCGCAAGTATAACAAAATTATCGAGAATCCTTCGATTTAGAATTCTTTCAAACAAATAGTTTGAAAGAATCTTTGAGGCCCTTAGTTCTTTATTTTTGAAAGAATTTGAAAATCTTAGCTGCCATTAGTGTCTTTTACGTATAGAATGTGAGGAAGATTTGTCTAACTAATGCGTATTTTTTTGAATTTAAATGAATCTTCCCGCCAATTTGTGTTATATTTCTGAAAGAGTTTGAAAGAATCTTAGAATCCCCCAGTGTTTTTTTTTAATCCAACGAAACCTTGAAGGCCCCTAGTGTAGTACTTTATTCTTGAAAGTATAAAAAATCATCAAAGATTCTTCTACTTAAAATTCTTTCAAAGTAAAGAGTTTGAAAGAATCTTCGGGGTTCTCTGTCATATTTTTGAAAGAATTTGAAAAAATCCGAGGGATCCTTGTGTCTTCTTTAAGAAACAGAAGAAAGAATCTTAGAAGTCTCTAGTGTCTTCTATATTTAATCGAAAGGAAACTTGAGGGTCTCTGGTGTGGTGTTTTATTCTTGAAAGTACAAAAGAATCTCGAGGATTCTTGTATTTAGAATTTTTTCAAAGAAATGTGTTTGAAAGAATTTCGGTGGCCTTTAATGCTTTATTTTTGAAAGAATTTGAAAATCTTAGGTACTACTAGTGTCTTTTACGTATAGACTGTGAAGGAGTTTTGGGTATCTAAGGTGTTTCTTTTCCGAATTTGAAAGAATCTTCCGGTCAACTTGTGTTATTTTTCTGAGAGTTTGGAAGAATCTTAGAATCTTCTAGTGTTTTTTTTTAAATCCAAAGAAACCTTGAGGGCCCCTAGTGCAATGTTTTATTCTTGAAAGTATAAACAAATCCTCGAGAATTCTTCTATTTAGAACTCTTTCAAAGGAAAGAGTTTGAAAGAATCTTCGGGCTTCTCTGTGTCATATTTTTGAAAGAACTTGAACAATTCCGAGGGATCCTTGTGTCTTGAATAAGAAACAGTTTGAAAGAATCTTAGGAGTCTGTGGTGTCCCTTTTTTAATCTAAACGAACCTGGAGTGGTGTTTTATTCTTGCAAGTATAACAAAATTGTCGAGAAACTTTCTATTTAGAATTCTTTCAAACAAATAGTTTGAAAGAATCTTTGAGGCCCTTAGTTCTTTATTTTTGAAAGAATTTGAAAATCTTAGGTACTACTAGTGTCTTTTACGTATAGAATGTGAAGGAGTTTTGGGTATCTAAGGTGTTTCTTTTCCGAATTTGAAAGAATCTTCCGGTCAACTTGTGTTATTTTTCTGAGAGTTTGAAAGAATCTTAGAATCTTCTAGTGTTTTTTTTTAAATCCAAAGAAACCTTGAGGGCCCCTAGTGCAATGTTTTATTCTTGAAAGTATAAACAAATCCTCGAGGATTCTTCTATTTAGAACTCTTTCAAAGGAAAGAGTTTGAAAGAATCTTCGGGCTTCTCTGTGTCATATTTTTGAAAGAACTTGAACAATTCCGAGGGATCCTTGTGTCTTGAATAAGAAACAGTTTGAAAGAATCTTAGGAGTCTGTGGTGTTCCTTTTTTAATCTAAACGAACCTGGAGTGGTGTTTTATTCTCGCAAGTATAACAAAATTGTCGAGAATCCTTCTGTTTAGAATTCTTTCAAACAAATAGTTTGAAAGAATTTTGGAGGGCCTTAGTTCTTTATTTTTGAAGGAACTAACGTGTATTTTTTCGAATTTAAAACAATCTGCCCGTCAATTTGTGTTATATTTCTAAAAGAGTTTAAAAGAATCTTAGAATCCCCCAGTGTTTTTTTTAATCCAACGAAACCTTGAAGGCCCCTAGTGTAGTACTTTATTCTTGAAAGTATAAAAAATCATCAAAGATTCTTCTACTTAAAATTCTTTCAAAGTAAAGAGTTTGAAAGAATCTTCGGGGTTCTCTGTCATATTTTTGAAAGAATTTGAAAAAATCCGAGGGATCCTTGTGTCTTCTTTAAGAAACAGAAGAAAGAATCTTAGAAGTCTCTAGTGTCTTCTATATTTAATCGAAAGGAAACTTGAGGGTCTCTGGTGTGGTGTTTTATTCTTGAAAGTACAAAAGAATCTCGAGGATTCTTGTATTTAGAATTTTTTCAAAGAAATGTGTTTGAAAGAATTTCGGTGGCCTTTAATGCTTTATTTTTGAAAGAATTTGAAAATCTTAGGTACTACTAGTGTCTTTTACGTATAGACTGTGAAGGAGTTTTGGGTATCTAAGGTGTTTCTTTTCCGAATTTGAAAGAATCTTCCGGTCAACTTGTGTTATTTTTCTGAGAGTTTGGAAGAATCTTAGAATCTTCTAGTGTTTTTTTTTAAATCCAAAGAAACCTTGAGGGCCCCTAGTGCAATGTTTTATTCTTGAAAGTATAAACAAATCCTCGAGAATTCTTCTATTTAGAACTCTTTCAAAGGAAAGAGTTTGAAAGAATCTTCGGGCTTCTCTGTGTCATATTTTTGAAAGAACTTGAACAATTCCGAGGGATCCTTGTGTCTTGAATAAGAAACAGTTTGAAAGAATCTTAGGAGTCTGTGGTGTCCCTTTTTTAATCTAAACGAACCTGGAGTGGTGTTTTATTCTTGCAAGTATAACAAAATTGTCGAGAAACTTTCTATTTAGAATTCTTTCAAACAAATAGTTTGAAAGAATCTTTGAGGCCCTTAGTTCTTTATTTTTGAAAGAATTTGAAAATCTTAGGTACTACTAGTGTCTTTTACGTATAGAATGTGAAGGAGTTTTGGGTATCTAAGGTGTTTCTTTTCCGAATTTGAAAGAATCTTCCGGTCAACTTGTGTTATTTTTCTGAGAGTTTGAAAGAATCTTAGAATCTTCTAGTGTTTTTTTTTAAATCCAAAGAAACCTTTAGGGCCCCTAGTGCAATGTTTTCTTCTTGACAATATAAACAAATCCTCGAGGATTCTTCTATTTAGAACTCTTTCAAAGTAAAGAGTTTGAAAGAATCTTCGGGCTTCTCTGTGTCATATTTTTGAAAGAATTTGAACAATTCCGAAGGATCCTTGTGTCTTGAATAAGAAACAGTTTGAAAGAATCTTAGGAGTCTGTGGTGTCCCCTTTTTAATCTAAACGAACCTGGAGTGGTGTTTATTCTCGCAAGTATAACAAAATTATCGAGAATCCTTCGATTTAGAATTCTTTCAAACAAATAGTTTGAAAGAATCTTTGAGGCCCTTAGTTCTTTATTTTTGAAAGAATTTGAAAATCTTAGCTGCCATTAGTGTCTTTTACGTATAGAATGTGAGGAAGATTTGTCTAACTAATGCGTATTTTTTTGAATTTAAATGAATCTTCCCGCCAATTTGTGTTATATTTCTGAAAGAGTTTGAAAGAATCTTAGAATCCCCCAGTGTTTTTTTTTAATCCAACGAAACCTTGAAGGCCCCTAGTGTAGTACTTTATTCTTGAAAGTATAAAAAATCATCAAAGATTCTTCTACTTAAAATTCTTTCAAAGTAAAGAGTTTGAAAGAATCTTCGGGGTTCTCTGTCATATTTTTGAAAGAATTTGAAAAAATCCGAGGGATCCTTGTGTCTTCTTTAAGAAACAGAAGAAAGAATCTTAGAAGTCTCTAGTGTCTTCTATATTTAATCGAAAGGAAACTTGAGGGTCTCTGGTGTGGTGTTTTATTCTTGAAAGTACAAAAGAATCTCGAGGATTCTTGTATTTAGAATTTTTTCAAAGAAATGTGTTTGAAAGAATTTCGGTGGCCTTTAATGCTTTATTTTTGAAAGAATTTGAAAATCTTAGGTACTACTAGTGTCTTTTACGTATAGACTGTGAAGGAGTTTTGGGTATCTAAGGTGTTTCTTTTCCGAATTTGAAA